CTTACTACCGACGTGTAAATCCAATTTACCATGTCTGGTCGCAAACCCCAATTCTTACCAATAGAGTTTCTGCACGTGTAATAGGCATTGAGCCCCTTTTTAAGCCGTTCCTGTATATTCTTCTTCCAAGACAATTTTTGGTCGAGGAAGGTCCCTAGATACTTGGCTCCATCCGATAATTTCAGTTCAACGCCGTCTAATCTCGGCAAGCTAAAACTCTCAACTTTATATTTTCTAGTGAAAAGTACTAGCTCCGTCTTAGATGGATTCACACCCAACCCATTCCTGTTTGCCCAGGTTGATAGATCACTTAGTGCTGACTGCATGACCTCACTGATTGTCGGGAGAAATTTACCTTTGACCAGTAGCACCACGTCATCCGCATAAGCGACTATCTTCCTACCTTTAGATTCAAAGATCCTTAGGATAGAGTTGACCGCCAGTAACCATAGTAGGGGAGATAACACTCCTCCTTGTGGTGTACCCCTGGTAACTCGTTTGCGAATCCTATCATCCCCTAAGGTTGAGTTGATAATTCTGCTATCAAGCATCGATACTATCCAACTCACTAGGAAATCCTGAACTCCGAGTACGACTAACGACTCTCTGATGGCCTCTATTCTAATGTTGTTAAAGGCGCCCTCTATGTCTAAAAACGCGGCTAGAGTATATTCCCTATGCTCTAAACCGTGCTCAATACAACCAACCACCTCATGTAACGCACTCTCAACCGACTTACCCTTTAGGTAGGCATGTTGAGCGTTGCTAATAAGACGGGTATCTATATTGCTCCTGAGATAAAGATCTATCAGACGTTCTAAAGTCTTCAGTATAAAAGACGATAGGCTGATAGGCCTGAAATCCTTAGGTTTCGAGTGGCATGCCCTACCGGCCTTAGGAATAAAGATTACCCTAACCTCTCTCCACCTTCTTGGAAGGTATCCCGTGAGGAGACACCTCTTGAAAATATCAGCTAGAAGTGCCAATGCGTCTTCAGGAATATTACAGAGCATGGCCGGAAAAACACCATCCGGACCCGGTGATTTATATGGGTCAAAAGTGTTCACCGCCCAGCCCAATTTGTCCCTAGTGACTATTTCATCAATATGACCAGATGAATAACTAGAAGCCCCAGGTCCTTGGACCCCCTGACTTAAGTCCCTATCATCTATATCAGCACAACCTGGGAAGTGAGTTTCCATAAGTAAAGAGAGTGTCTCTGAGCTGGACTCCGTCCACGAGTTGTCTTCACGCTGAATGTAACCTAAGGCCTTGGGGTCTTTGGCTAAAATTCTACGGAATCTAGACATCTCATTTACGTTGCCAACAGATTCACAGTAGTTCCTCCATGATATCTGTTTTGCTCTTTTGATCTCTCCCTTATACTTATTGAAACTCACTTTGTAGTTGTTCCAATCTTTTGGAAGTCTTGTAAGCTTTGCCTTATTAAACAACCTTCTAACCGTCGACCTTTGATCACGTAGTTCCCTGGTCCACCACTTAGGTTGCTTATGCCTACCCGGAAATCTCAACGGGCAGGATAGCTCATAGCTCTCCGTTAACACACTGGTAAATTTGTCTACAACCTTATCCAATTCGAGGGACCGCAGAACATTTATATCCATCTGCGAAAATCCTGACCGGACCCTGTTGTAGAATTTTAACCAGTCGGTTTTCCTACGGTCCCTAAAGGGTTCCTGCTTGGATTTACTCAAATTCACTGTGAAGGTAATCCGGCTATGGTCAGAGAACGAATAGTCGGTATGTACTTTCCAATCCCTAATAAGATCCTCATTTTGGTTAGTAAGGGTAATATCAATAACTGTTTCCCTATCTTTATTCCTAAACGTTGGCATATTGCCCCTGTTACAGATAATAAGATTCCATGCAGTAATGAAATTAAACACTAACTCACCTCTTTTATTAATGTCAGCACTGCCCCATTGACTGTGATGTGCGTTTGCATCACAGCCTAGTATCAGGATAGCGCCCTTCCGCTTTGCATACGCCGTCAGCTCCAGCACCTCTACACCAGGCGGCTCTATAGCTTCATACGGCATGTACACTGAGGCCACCGAGAGCAACCGCTCACCCTTGACCTCTCTGTTTATAACGGTTAGATCACCGCTCCTAAAAGAATGAGATATTAGAAAATTAAGTTCATTCTTTGCCAATATACAAGTTCTAACCTTATCCTCAGTGGACGGGACGAACAAAGTATATCCCGTGATCGCTAATCCACAAACCCTATTGTTATTTAGCCATGGTTCTTGGATTAGGGCCACGTCCGTCTTGGAATGGGTGATGAACCTTGCCAACTCCGCTGAAGCTGCCTCACAATGATGCAGGTTTATTTGCACCACCTGCAGCTTCCTTGGATCTGTCATGCTTAGAGTATCTAAACCGTACAGTTCCAAGTCCGAAGTTGACAACTCCCCTCAGCCCATCCAAGATCTCGAGGGATTTGTCGTCTACAGCGAAACGGAAATCCCTCCCTGTATTCTCCTTGCACACCATTGAAGCAACAAACTTCCATTGGTTTGTAAGGAGATTACTGTTCTGCTTGGCCAATACCGCCAGTATGGTGTCCACCGGTCTTATGGGTGGTGGAATCCACACTGTCACTATTGACCTGAGTGGTAATTCAGATGCATAAATCACCTCGAGCTTTGAGTCCGGACTAAGGTCTCCAAGCTTGGCAACCGTGGCCCTTAAAAATACAAAGGAATTTTTATTGCCACAGTTGACAATCTTGATGCCCCTAGCCCAGTCTGCACCCTTGAAGGATACGTCATCTGGGCTACCACTGTATGCAGCGATTTCGTCCAGGAACCTGCCCTCGACCAGCTGCCAAAGCTCGGGACTGATCTTCCCATCCGGATCAGACCGATCTATAACAGCCGCCCGAAAGTTTCCATCCAGGCTCGTGGATTTCTTCACCTTCTTCGTTGATGAGGTCGGCTGATCATCCACAGATCTATCTCTTTTAATGGTCCCCTTTTGAGGCTCATTAGAGGTGCTAGCCGGGTTTCTACCAGCCGTCCTCAGCGACGAAGATTTTCTGGGCCCCTTTAGCTTGGAGTTCTGGCCACCTCCAGACCCGGTTCTCCTAATGGCCCCCTTTTGAGGACCCTTAGGAGAAGCAGCTGGAGGTTTCCCTTCCCTCTTCGCCCCTGGCACCACTTTGGATGCTGTTTTGTTGCCACCCGCAGCTCCCGCCGAGGCCCTGAGCGCTTCGGCAGCAATAACACCATCCTCCTTTTTGTTTTCGTCACGACAAGCAGCCGATGTTGAAGGCCCCACACCCTTGTGAGTGCATACCTGGCCAACCTCATTACCTGCTTGCTGTTCCTTAGAAGGCCACCCCAAGATAACACTAACAGGACCATAGATTCTTTCAAATCTAGCTACGTCATGCTTGTGCTTCTTGACGAGGTACTTCTCCTTTGATGAGAACGACGCCGGATCTCTCTGCTCCATCTTAGCCAGAAAGGCCAGAGATTTCCGGGTGCCGTTCTTCGCCCTATCCTCTTTCGTTCGACCAGCATTAGCAAGATCTCGTGGAGGGGCTCTAGGCGACTCCTCCACGGCGGCTTGCCGAACGAGATTGGCGTTCTTTACGCCATGTGGACGACCTTCTTCCGAGAGGCTACATTGGTCCTCCTTGGCCTCGTCAGTAGGAGGGGATGACTCTGTCATCCGACCGTGAGCAGACACCACAGTGGTGTTATGTTCCCCGTCGGATGACAGATCCATCTCCCCGAACTTCTGTGTGGCGCCGGATTCTCCAAAGGAGTCCTTCGACAACCCTAGAAGGTCGTCCACATTACAGTCCGTTAGAATCTGTTCTTCATGCTTCAAAATCCTAGCATGAATGTCAGTCAGTGTCAGTCCTCCGTCTAATGATAGGTCTGTATCCCCACCATCCTCACTAGTCCGGTCCCTGAAAGCCGTAGTGTCCAGCTCTACTACCCTTTCGTCACATTGTACGTCTTTTCTGTCCGCTACTACCTCTTCCTTTTCTTTATTTAAATTTTTCGATTCAATTTTGATCCCACGAATATGCTCGTTCGGACGGACCATCCACGCAGTGACGGCATACGTGGACTAGGCAACTATCTTACAACAGCGTTTTACCCTGACGCTGAGGGGAGCTGTTAACGGCTAATTTATTTACGCACTAATTAGCCATTCAGGACCTCGGCACTGCTTCCAACCACCTTGACCTTAAAAGTGCTTATATAACGCAATACCCTAATAGTAAAGCTCTTATCAATCAAGAGCGAACCTGCAATGGGCAATCACGTATCATCTATGCCATGATAATAAAGCGACAAGCTATGTAAACCGCTTATTGCTACAGCCATACCATGACAGGATGAGTAACCTTTAGTTATACACCCCTTTATAAGCCAGAACCCACCGCGAGTAGAGGTTTGAAGCCAATAAACTCAGAAGGCCCTGACAACAGAGTGTACGTAAGCCCTCGCATCGCGACAAGATTGTTACCCAGGCGAAGGCATTGTAGTTAGAATCATCAAAATCGTTAAGTAGGTTTCTTATTTATATTGCTTTTAGGGTAGCACAGCACACTGGGTATAGCTAGTAATTAAACAATTTTATTTGTTTTGTTTTGACGTTATTGATAATTTTCTTAATGCTAAATTTTTTATAAACTGATTTTCTGCAAGATGTTTTATGTGGAGGATAGGGTTAAATATTGGCAGATCCTCGTAAAACTTGGAGAAAGGATTAGTTTTTAATTTTTAAGAATTTTTTATTCATTACTGCATAATTTCTCACACAACTTTTGAGCTTGCTCTGTTTTGTTATAAACAATACATTTGCTTTTAAAATCCCACTTTCTGATCTCTCGGATTCCGTTTTTATTTAAAATAGTTGAAAATTTAAAAACTAAACGTAGTTGAAAACTTAGCCGGCTTACAGTCGGTTTTAAGCCGCCGCCGACATATTTGATGTCAGTCGCCGCCGCCGTTAATATTTGTCGGCGCAGGGCTCTGGTCGGTGGTTCAGATTATTGTTTATACAAATAATTTCAATTGGGAGTGAATATTATTTTATATTAATGTATAGCAGATTTTCCGGATAGTCTCTGCAATGAGTGGTAATGTACATGGTCTCAGTTGGTTTCCCAACATTCCAGATAAGTTCGTAACATGGGGCCAAGACATCAATTTGTATGAAGTGCGCAATAAGGCCGAAGCAGATGTTAAGCGTAAGTTTTGAGGATCCAGGCACTGCCAGTGAAATGATTTCATTGTTCTCCAACTATTTACAGCTCGTTTGCCAAATATCCCGGCAAATTTTGTTGCCATTGAAAATCGTTATCAGTACGCCAGATGTGTTCAACCATCATACCACAAGCATCGCCCAATTATTGCCGTTGGCTTGGGAGATGGAAAAATTGGCATTTCTAATTTTCACGAAATGGTCGATAACAGTTGGGAGTACAGTGAGTGGTATATTTCTGTAGCTTCGAGTACTATATCTTTAATTTTTCCTAACGATTTTTAGCTCCACGCCAGCAACGTATGTGTTTATGTTTGGCTTGGAATGAGACAGACCCAAATATTTTGGCCATTGGCCATGATCGCTACAAGTCTGATTCTTGTATAACTATTTGGGACATTGAAAGGGGTTTACCGAAGGAGAGTAGTAAGTAAAATGTTAGGTATTTTTTCATCTGTGTGATAGGTATTTACTGCGAACTATAAACGCTATTAAGATTTTATAGGGAATTTAGAGGTTTTTATACCTACTTACAGTTGATTTGTTATTTCGATACCATTTTCTTTATTCTTCATTTTTAAGGTTCAAATTTCTTTGGACTCTCCGAATCCGCCCATTCATTGTGTTGGAACAAAAATCACCGTGTTCTTATTGCTGGCATGAATCAGAAACAAATCAAACTATACGATTTAAGACGTAAGTTTAATAATTTGTTCTCCATTTACTAGTTGTTGCCCATTTTCTTTTAAATTTACTGGTTATAGAAAACACATCCACATTGCAGACCATACAAACGAAAACCGTTTACGGTTTGGGTGTTGCACCAAATGGCAATTATCTTTCTAGTTTTTTTGATTCCGTTATAATGCTATGGGATCTGCGTTCCCTCGATCGACCATTGAAACAAATACAATCTGCTAAAAATCATCTACAACTGAGTTGGTGTCCTACGCGATCAAGTCTACTGTCATCGTTACAACGTGAATCTCCCTATATTACACTCTACGATATACGTTGCGTAGATGTGGAAAACAGTCGGGAAGTGTACAGTGTCAAGAAGCAGTTGCTACCATTTCATAACAAATATCATTCATCACATAAAGGTTACTCGCTTAATGCACTCTCCTGGCATAACAGTGACTTTGAAAGGGCGCTACTGCTGTCAGAAACTGGCAGTATTACGGACTTTCGTTTACCCTTGTCTATACTAACAGCCTACAGTAACCACAAAAAATTGCCGCTTTTATTGCAACGTCCATTATCGGCACCCAATTCACCAGCTCACAGCAGTAGTCAAACAGCTAGTCAGTCGTCTAGTACTCCAGAATTTGCCAGTATCGGTTCTTCGCTAAACTTTCATGTATACGACCACAATTTGCTTGAGGAGGATTTAGTAGATGAAACTCGGGAACGAGCTTTAAGTGATTACGGTCTAAAGATGGATGGAAAACGCTTGAGTGGAGAATTTCATTTGTCACCATATTTGAAGAATGTATGGTTAAGTTTGGCAAACTTGTATCGTACCGAGGAAAAATTAATTGGTTTAAAAACGATTTTGGGTTTTGGTATGGGTCACACTTCTCAAGCTTTTATGAACATTTCACGCATTGAAACTCATGTTCTGCAATGGCCGGAATTTATAAATAATTCCAACAACTTGGTATGCTACAGGTGAGTGAGATTTTCAAATGCAAAAAATATTAAATTAATACCATAATTAAATGAATTTAATATTACAGAAGTGACCAACGTGATACGGCATTGAAACTGTGTGGTTGGCCTATTGATCAGGATTTAGATCGTTTTGTAAGCAACTTGTGTGAAAATAAGGTAAACAGGAGGAAAATTTTCGAGATTTAAATTTACTTATGTATTTGATTTTCATAATTTAAAAATATAATCTCCAGGAATTTAGCCGTGCTGCCATGATTTATGTCTTCCATTTGAAAATTCTAGCGGCTTGTGATATTTTATCGAAAGCTGTTGATCAAACACGTGATCCCAGCATGTTTCGTATAGCTGCCATTGCATTGTCCAGTTTCAACGCGGATCGTTCTAGTACCGCTTGGCGCAATCAGCGCTCAACTGCCAACACTCAAATACAGGATCCTCATTTAAGAGCCATATTTTCATTTCTCATAGCAGACAATGAAAATTTTGATTCCGTCTTGGTAAATAGAAAATTTTGCAGATTATTTGATTATATTAATTATTTCCATTGAATTAAATAGATAGAAGAGGGTGTTTCTTTGGCTGACCGCATGGCATTTGCTTGCAAATATCTTTCTGAATCGAAACTTTCCGACTACATCAAGTTGCAAATCCAAAAATCAGTTGAGAAAGGAGACTTAAATGGTTTATTGCTGACTGGGGAATCACAAGATGGCATTAATATACTACAGTCTCATATGGATTCTACTGGAGATATTCAGACTGTTGCTTTAATTGCCATAAACTATTTCCATCGTGAACTTTTTGACGATACATTCATACAATACTGGATATCGAGGTAATATTGATTTCAGCGTTCCTAACTATAAAAAAATGTACTCATTTCTACATTTTATATCTTGCAGCTACATGGACTGTCTTAACTCTTGGGGTTTTTGGGAGAAGCGTGCTGAATTGGAAATAAAAATAGTAAACCTACGCTCAACTAGTCGTACAGCTCGCACTGTATATTTGTCATGTAATTTTTGCGGTAAATCGGTATCGAATGCTTTACAAGATGATGCACGCATTCGTAATGTTTCCTCGAATGTTAACAAAGTATATTTGATATTTTCTAAAATTTCTACATAATTTAATATTTTATTTACATGTTATTGCTTTATCAACAGCTTTCGTCATGTCCCAGTTGTAGAAAACCACTGCCTCGTTGTTCTTTATGTTTACTGCATATGGGTACTACTCTAAATGCAGGTCTTTCAGGAGAAGGTGGTCTCGAGAGTATTGGTTGGCAATCAAAACCATTTTCAAAATGGTTTTCTTGGTGTCAAACATGTCGTCATGGTGGTCACACTGAGCATTTAATGCAATGGTTTAAGTAAGTATTTTAATATTTTACTAAAAAACCATAATCTAAATGCTTATTTTTATTACTAGGCAAAATTCTGAGTGTCCTGTTTCCTCTTGTTCATGTCGATGTTTCGATATGGATGTTACTAATCCTGAAGTTACACATGATCTTTCGTAGTTGATGTGCTTTTTTAAGCAGCTTTATAATATATGGCCTAATTTTTAATTAAAGACTTTTTTTTAACATATAAGACTTTTTGTTCCAATTTTTTTTGTACGGCAATAAAGTGTTCCAAATATAATTGCTTTAATTTTAATTCGGGTATGCAGTAAATTCTTATGAATTTTCATTTAGTAAATGTAAAAGGTATGGTTTTGGATCTATATTTACATTTTAAATAATCAAAAAATTAAAATTATTAAAGAAAAATTACTTTTGATAGGCTCGTCCCCTTTTCTACATTACCAGTCCAAATGTGTGCGTTAAAGTAATATCGGTGAAAAAATGGATGGAGCATATCAGATATGTTATTTACATACTTTATAATTCTATTAAAATACTATTATTACTTTTAAGATTATGTTTATTATGTAACTCGTATTCGCATAAAACTGGAGGACTTCAGATAATTATAAAAATATTATTAAACAAAAGTTTGGATAATAATTAACTAGGGTTACAAATCTGTGTAAAAATATCATTCTTTTCAGGCTCCTCTAAAAAGATATCTTATTTATGTTATTTTCAGGGCAATAATTTTTATGCAAATGTACACATCGTCACCTAAAACGCAAACGGCCCTATCTAATATTTTTAAAATTTTACAGAAGAAGAAAAAAACTATTCAAATTGAAAAGTTTGTTTCTATCAACGCGATTTATTTGTAGTAAATAAACAAATTGTTTAATAGTGAAATCTATCATTTGTTATGATAGTTGACAATGGCGTATATAAAAATGGATAAATTGGACTTTTTACCTTTAATATTTAAATGTTTTTATAGATAGGGCCTTTTGTTTTTTGTCAATAAAATCGATCATTTTTGTCGGACGACTCCAAGTTTTGGTGTGGACATTTGTTTTGATGCAACATATTAGAATCAGCAATAAAATAGATTTTGAATTTTTGGTTAGTTAGGGCCGTTTGCGTTTCAGTATTGTCGCGTGAAATCCAAAAAGCCCTAAGTTTCATTGAATAAATTTTTCAGGAGAAGTAAAAAACCTTCTAAAATAATAAATAAAACAAAAATCAATATTTTCTCAATTTAAGGTTATTTTTTATTAACAAATTTGTTGTTGAAGAAAAATTCGCAGTTTTCGTTTCACTTTCGGAGATATGAAACCTAGGCTCTTGAGAAATTTTTTTTCTCAAACCCAAAAAAGCGTAAGTTACATTTAACATTTTATTATTTTACAGCGCCCTAAAATATGTTTTAGCGATATTTATTAAGGAAATTCAAATATATTGTTGTACACAAACGGCTGTATTTCTAAAAACATATTTTTGGTTTATTAAACAATTTTAGGCAAAAATCCAGGAAAATCGTATTCATAAACGTCAAATAGCCTTCAAGCTATGACTAGATATGCCCCCATCGTGAACAAATTTTAAAGTAACATTTCTATGTATAAATGTAATATTTGCGCCAAATTTTGTATGGATAGTGTTATTTCAAAAGAGTTATGTGCGTTTAAGTGTTTTTCTGAAGGGGGCCTTATATAGAAGTGATGACCAATTATGGACCGATCGGAAAAAAATTTACAGTAACATTTATGTATTTAAAAGAAATATTTGTGCCAAATTAAGTTAAATAATTAGTTATGTGCGTTTAATGATTTTTGGGATTATGCTAAGGGGAAGCTATGTGCCAATTTTTATTTAGCTATCTAAAATTCGGCAGATTGCTAATTTTTTGCCTAATTTTCTAGGGGCAATAAAATATATCTGTGTTTACTCGAATATACGTTTTTGTCCTTAAAAGATTTCGTGAACCTGTTCTCAGCAATAATCAAAAAAAATATTTTTTTACACGCCAGTTTCAAAACTCCATTTCAGTTTTTTAAATCTTTCTTAAACAAATTTTAAAATTTTAGAAATATCACATTGGGATTTGTGGTCAATAGATTACGGAATAAAACAGTGAAAAAATTAGGTCAATACCTCTTATAGTTAAGCTGTACCTGCGATTTGAATTCTGCGAATTTCGCGAAAAACAATTTTTTTTAATATTTCAGAAAATATGTCCTAATTAATTACTGTTATAGATTTTAAACAAAATATTTACAGAATATTATTTCTTAGATAATACAAAATGTGTCCTTGATGTTATATATAATCGGGAAGTCGTAAACTTTGGAGGTCAAAGGTCAAATTTTGCAATATTTGGAAATTCTCATTGAAACATATCCTAATATTATTTATTTGTTGGCCATATACAAAAATTTATAGTATACAGTCCGATATTTAAAATAACAACAACAACAACAACCCTTAAAGATATTACAAAAAAATTAGTTTTTCGCGAAATTCGCAGAATTCAAATCGCGGGTACAGCTAAAATATAAGAGGTGTTGACCTAATTTTTTACTGTTTTATTCCGTAATTTATTAACCATAAATCCCCTGGTGATATTTGCTTAACAAAGACTTAAAAAACTGAAAATGGAGTTTTGATTTTTTTTTTTGATCATAGCTGAGAACAGGTTTACGATATCTTTTAAGGACAAAAACTTATATTCGAGTAAATATAGATATATTTTATGTAATAAAATAGATTTATTGGAATATTTTCCAAAATAAGTAAATTTTTTTCCACATTTCCTAATCAAGTGCTCTGAGACATGTTAATGGCCTGGGGACTTTTTAATAACTTTTACATTTTTGAACCAAGTTTTGTGTTTTACATCTTTTTGAAATCCATGTACATTATGATTCTTTAACAATAATATGTAAAATATTTACCTAATAGCAACATTTATCACATAATATCAAAATATACGAAGTATGCTCCTACTGCGACCAGGTCAAGTTTTTGGAGACAAAATCTGTTGAAACTCTGTTTGACTTAAAGTAACAACAATTATGTATAAAATATAAATTTTTAAGTACAATATTAGCTTTGTTTTGAGGTACTAAGCGTGTTTCTATTATTTTCAGTTCTGGAGTTATAGCTTCATATGTTAGCTTTTTGGCCAAAAATTTGGATTTTTTCAACGTCTTTTAATCGAGCTCAAATTTCGGCTATCTCAATATCTAGAAAGGAAAATAATTTTGTGGGGTTAAGACGAACAAGAGTCCGACATTTTTTTCTCCCCATATAAGATCCGGTCAGTCTAATGACCAATTATGGTCCGATCCAGAAATTTTTGTTTTTCTATGAATTCTATTGACATAAGATTTTAAATTGTAATATTTTGTGAAGATATCAGCATTCTGACGGAAGTTATTAACAATAAACTAATTTTCCGGGAATATGTACTTTTGAATGGGAGGTACATGAAATTGTGGACCGATTCCACCAATTTCAAACAGCAATAAAGCTCTTGTATAGAAACAATTGTGTGATGATTTTCATGGAGTATATTAGACAGTTTTTTTGAAAACTACATTAGAATATTTTGATTCATAACTTTTCCCGATGTGAACCGGGAATATGTACTTTTGAATGGGAGGTACATGAAATTGTGGACCGATTCCACCAATTTCAAACAGCAATAAAGCTCTTGTATAGAAACAATTGTGTGATGATTTTCATGTAGTATATTGGACAGTTTTTTTGAAAACTACATTAGAATATTTTGATTCATAACTTATCCCGATGTGAATCGATTTTGCTCATTTTCAATAACAAACTGCTTAGGACAATAATAAATATTTTGGGTGAATTTCGTTAATTTTTGTTCTTTCTTTGCTAAATATTTCTGGGTGTTACAAATTTCATGTACCTCCCAGGGTATAAAAATCAAAAAATACCAGTCGCAAAACTATTAAAGCTGACTACACACTATAATATTCAGTAAAACGACATGTCAAAATTTTCAAATAAAATTAAAAATATTATAGTGTAGATACAAAATGTAATAAAACTTATTGAAAATACGGATAGAAAATTGACAATCGTATGATTTTTTAAAATTTTTTGAAAAATTTCAAAACGATTGGATTTTTCGTTTTATTTTTATTTAAACAAAGAAAAACATAAAACAAGAAACAAATATCAAATAAAAACAGAAACAAAATGAAAATTTACGTTTTTTCTTTGAATTTTTTCAAATTGAAGTTTCATTTTATTTCAAACAGAAACAAAATGAAAATTTACGTTTTTTCTTTGAATTTTTTTCAAATTGAAGTTTCATTTTATTTCAAATCTGTGCCAGTGTTCTGTAACTCTCGCATCGAGAAATTTCTCGCATGAAACATTGAAATTGAAGAAAAACACTGTGAATTGAAACAAAATATCATTTCTCACATGCAAGTGTTTCTGTAATTTATTTTTGTGAGAACTATCTATCATTTAAGTTTTTTGACGTAGGATATTTTCTAAATTTGTGAGTAAAAGTGTTTCTGTAAGAAAATTTTGTGAGAAGTTTCTCACATGAACTGTCAAAAAAACTCTCATTTTAAAACAGTGCGGAAAGTAAAATTTTATGAAAAAAAAGTTTAATTTAACATGTATTGTAAGAAATAAAGAAAATATAATGTTGTTTTTACAATAAATTAAGATTAAAATTAATATTTTAACAAATTTTTAGAAAATAGGAATACTTTCTAATATACAAAAGCTAATGCTGGAAAAGTACGTGGACATAAACCTAGAATTTACCAGGGGACAATTTAGTGCTATAATTTTTTAAATATTTTTAATATAATTTCAATATTTTTGTTTATTTAATCTTTGTTTATAAATTTGATTGGCAATTTTTGTTTTTATCATTTTTTATTTTTTTGTTTTTGACAGGAGTTTTATTGGAAATTTCCAATAAAAACGTAATTCATGTTGCCTCTTTTCACTTTAAGTTACAGAAACACTTTTTACTCACAAATCGAGAAACGATGGAATTTTTTGTTTTATGTCTACTCGATGTGAAAGCTTTTCGATCAAGTTACAGAACACAGGCACTGATAGTGTAGAAACAAAATATATTTTCTATTTGATTTTTTTTTTTTGATAATCATACCAATTTTCATTTTATTTTGTTTTGGCAGTATGAAATAAAAATCTAACGACTTCTCTCATAGTGTGTAGGCGGCTTA